AGACTGTAAACGCCCTGGGGCAGGGACTGTCTCTGTCTGTGTGTCTGTGCAGCACCCAGCATGTTGGGCCCTGGTTTTGCCTTGGGCCTCTAGGCACTGCCATAGTGCTACTGATAATAGCCCATTATAAACTCCTTAGAGCTGGGAATGTCTCTTCCATCATATCTCTTGCCACGCCCAGCACACAGATAGAGCTCACTATATAATAAGAAACAATTAACAAACAGCTCATTGAATAGTCATCAGATGGCCCTGACTTTCCATCCCTACCAACCTAGGTGGAGTTTGGAGTCTATGACCTAGAAATGAGAGACCCATTCTCCATCCCCAATCTCCTGAGGTCTCCATTCCACCAGCCACACTACAGATAACACCCCGTCTGTAGGTCAATCACTCTTTTCTCAGGCTGCTCTATTCTGGAGTCTAGTCAAAATGACAACAGCCCCAAGATTAGATTTGTCAGAGGGAGATTGGGAACCAGCCCCACACTCTGCACTGCTGGACCATGGGGAGCCAGGTCTCATGTCCAAAATCCCTTCCCTGCATTGGGGAGTGAAAGGGAGAGTGAGAAGGAGCCACCTACCTGCTCAAGGTGCCTTTGATGTCCTAGAGGAGAAAGATAAAAGGAAATTCAGTCCCATCTCTCACACTAAGGATCCCTCCTGCTCTGGAGGGGACTCACTTTGTCTTCATAGTTTGAGGTTCAAAGTGAAATTATTTGTTATTTATTAACACAAACAAAAACTTTAAACGTGTTGCTTTTGCTCCTTTGGAAAAGTGCTGTAAGTTCAGGATCTGGGCCCAGGAAGTTTATACGTGGAGGCACACAGGCTCTTTGTGTAACAACATGTGGATAACCACCCGGCACATGGAATCAGAGAGCTCAGTCTTGTGATGTGTTGAACAAAGATCTCCCTAACACTCACAAGTGTGGGGAAGATCCCCTCCTGCAGACTCCAGTGGGTCCAGAAGGAGGAATGTCCCCCATGCTGTGCTGCCCCCATGCTGTAAACTCTCTCCCCACTCGCCCACAAACATTCTGAAGGCCCGTCCTGTGGGCTTCTTGACATCCACAGGAAGTTGGGGCTGGGCGAGAACAATGGGTGTGGGGTACAGAGTATCACAGGGCCATTCACTATTCTGAACCCCAGGTTCAATGCAGGAGACCTGAGGAGTGAAGAATGTTGCCCACAGTAGATACTGCTTGCAACAGAGAATTTCATCCTAGATATCAGCTAGAGAAGTCCAGGATGCTACGTTTTATTTCTGACCTTCTTTCTTGTTTGGTAGTTAGAGGCACTTTTTGAAAATTAAAATAATTAGAAGGCTTTTGAAATTCTAATGACTACTTGTACATTCAGACTACCATAAGTAATGAACAGCTTCCCTATCTAACTTCAGTTCTGGCAGAGAAAATCACCGCAGCCTCAGACCTCATGTATCAATTTTGAGGCCACTATTTTCCCTTTTTTGGGATATGTAGGAAGAGTGTCAAAATCAGGTTTAAAATGGAAACTCAGCTTCAATCTTAGCTATTTCCATAACTAAAGACTGGTTCCATTTTTCATCTTTTGGAGTCAGCGTTTGGAACACAGGAAATGCCAGACTGGATCAGACTTTAGGTCCATCTGGTCAGTATTCTGTCTCCAAAGGTGGACAGTGCCAGTTGTTCCAGAGGAAGGTGTAAAATAATCTGACCCCCACATTCTCATCCTGCTCTCTAATAGTTAGTGACTGGCTGAAGCAATGAAGCATGAGGTTTAATATCACTCTGCATATTGTGTTATCCATACAAATATCCAATCACTTTTGAGTTTTGCTAAATGCTTGGTCTGAACGACATCTGGTGGCAATGAGTTCCACAGTCTAATTATGTGATGTGTGAAAACTTGTTCATTGGATCAGTTTTGAATTTGTCACCTTCTAATTTTACTGAATGTCCCTTTGTTCTTGCATTAGGAGACAGGGAGAAGAGAGTTTGGCGTTTGCCATTTTTGGAGGAGTCTTCTCCCACTAGAATTCAAAAGAAGATTTTTTTTCATTTAGGACTTGATCCAATGCCCATTGTACTCAAGAAGTATATTTCTATTGACTTTAATGGGCATTTTATTAAGCCCTTAAGGAAAAATAATGTATATTTTAGCAATACTGTATGTTCTGACCTTTCACTCCTACACTCCAAAAGTGAAGAGTTAGGAGACTTTCTTGCCCTGTGAAAGGTTCTGGGGTGTTTCTAACACTGTCTCACCTGCAGGAATTCACTTGCTGGCAGCTGGCACTTCTGCTCCATCTCATTGATCAGGGAACTGAAAGAGGATAGTTCCTCAGATAGTTTGGCAACATATTCATCCCTCCTCTTTTCAATTTCCTTAATCAGTTCTTTCAACTGGGCCAACAGGAGTTGCTCTTGTTCCTCCAGAAACTGGCTCAGTTGCTGAAATTCAGACACAATCTTCTGCTTCTCAGTTTCTAGCTGTTTCTGAAATGAAGAGATACAAACAGGGATAGCACAAGTCAAGGCCAGGAACACAGAGCGAGTTATGGGACATTTTATAAAGCCTTATGTATGCACATGGGAGTATGTCATTGCAACCTGTAGAAAAGACGGTTACTCACCGTTGTAACTGTTGTTCTTCGAGATGTGTTGCTCATATCCATTCCATTAGGTGTGCGCGCGCCGCGTGCACGATCGTCGGAGAATTTTCTACCCTAGCAACACCGGCGGGTCGGCTGTGGAGCCCCCTAGAGTGGCGCCTTCATGGCGCTGAATATATACCCCAGCCGA